GCCCCCCCCCCCCTCAAAACCGATCGACGTCATCTTTGCAGCAGCGCGACACATATATCGGCCTTTTCCCCCCTACACATTTGTATACCCCGCGTCTTACAACGTATACATCACACGTTCGCCGAGACGCCACTGCCTCCTCATTATAATACCTCTAATATATATATGAATGAACGCTTTGCGCCGTACACGCATCGTCCCACGTCCGAACGGAGAGGAGCCGGTTCCCCGCGTTCGCGGACCGATCAATGAGCCGCGGCTGAATATATATATATTATATACCGATCTCCCGGATCGGTTATACGCTATATAATAAACGATACACCGAGTCGAGCATATAATATTTTATATATTATGTACTGCACCCACATGTGTATATTATACATGTTATACGCAAATGTAGAAGACGTATTATAAGTATATAATTGTAATGATGGGCGTGTTGATCGGTATGTGTTGTGTGTATATAAACTCACAAGAGGTGCTCGTCGCGTAGACACAGGGTGGCGCCGAGGCCACCCAGTAGGAGGATCATGAGCAACGCGGGTGCCAGAACGCTGGCGAAGACCTCCCTGCGATAGGTGCGCTTGGGCAGGTCGGCCCTGCGCGGTTGGGCCCAGCGCCACTCCGACGGACTGGGTGGTCCGATGACGCTGGAGCTCAGGTCCCGGCGAGCGCTCTCCTGCTGCTGGCTGTCCTCGATCTACGGTGCGAAGCTCACGGATGGGACAATGTTTTATATATATATTATATATTATACGAGGGACTTACCATTTTGAAGTAGCACCAGTCGAATTCGAAGCGCTGGTGGAAAAATCGGTCAAAGGTCACCTGCTTGAAGTCGCACGTGGTGAACTTTTTGGTGCTCGGCTCGATTTCTTTCTCGATCTTCAGGAGATCGGGCGAGAAGGGCGTTGAACTGCCCAAACGCAGCACCGTTCTGCAATACATCGTAGACAAAAATCTAATCCTTACCTATATACGTATACGTCATTTTGCGCGAATATATATATACACATGTTTATAAGGGCCTACACAAAAGGGATACAATAATACGCGCTAGCGGTATGGTGCGAGTAAATTTTTTTTTTTTCAAATAAATACTTGGATAATCTTTTTTTTTGTTTCTGTTCGTATGCTCAAAAATTCACATACGCAAACGCATGAAAAAAGCACTTTGGCGGCCAACATCATCATCATCATCATCATCATCATAGCGATCAGTTCTCTCGTGCGTCATACAATACCCCTCTCTCTCTCTCTCCCTCTGCCCCTGCATGTGTATATAATCTCTCGTGCAGTTGCTGCGTTGATGTAAAAAAGAGAGAGAGAGAGAGAGAGAGAGAGAAACAAGAGCGAGTGTACACGTCTATATATGTAGGGTAACACACATGTATTTTATTGTGCCCACGGCGGAAACCGGTTGGCGAATAAGTACATATATATTTTATCTCTGCCGGTGCACGCGACTCTCGCGCCCATAATTATATACTTGTAAATGTGTTTGTATATTATATATATATATGGGTATGGTGATGCAGTAGCGGTACACGCAAAACGGACTCGTTAATATTTATGTTGTCTGTTGTTCTCTACTTCGCGGGTAAATGCTATTTCATACATGTATATAAGTGCAACCGTGAATATGTGGGTTCTCTTTGCTTCGTTGATTACATATATGTATAAAAGGCGGGTGGGACGATACGCTCGATCACGGACAATCCTTTGATAATCTTCACACGGGACCTTTGTGTCATTAACGCGTACCATACTCGTTGGGTGGATGAATCGGGCTTTTTTTACATTTTTATGAAAAAAAAAACAAAAAAACAAAAAAAAAACACGACCGGAAAGTTATACAATCACGCAATCGAATTTTCGTTTGGTTAACCGTTTGTATCTTTGAAATGCGGTATAATCTATAGGAAAAGAAAATAAAAAATACTAGAAAAAGCTCTAAAAAGAGAATGAAATACAAAAAAAAAAAAAAAAAAAAAAAAAAAAAAAAAAAAAAAAAAAAAAAAAAAAAA